ATCATGACCTGAGCCGAAGGCAGACGCTTAACGACTGAGCCACGCAGGCACCCCGAGAGGCATTTTCTGAGAATTAAAGGTCTAAAGGGTCCAAAAGCCTCTTGGGCTTCAGTTATTAACAAGTTTTAAAGTCCTATAAAATAGGGGTGCTTACCTATGTATGAGATATGTTTTTAATCCTCAAAAATTCTTTTAAAACCCTTTTATTTTTCAGAAACAGCACAAGACATCCAAAAGGTAAGCACAGTTACATTTCTTATTTTGAAATGTTTACTTAGGCACCCCTTATATATCTCATCCCCAGCCTGTATTCCAATGTAAACAATTATTTTACATTTTGAGATGGACTTAAGGACTGATTCATCCTTATAACCTCCTCCCTCCCCCTGCTTCATTTCTCAGAACTAAGGCAATGATTTCTTGATCCCCCTCTTACCCCACCTCTGACCTCAAAAGCTGTAAGGTTACCTAGGGTGTAATACATGTACCCTGTGCACCCGACTTTGTCACAAGACCAAGGCTCCTGCCTCCCAAATGTTGGCCCCTTCTCAGAGCGTTAGCCTTCAGTCACAGAGATCCCCTTCTAAGAATATGGTCCTGCTGCTGGTATAAGAAGTATGATCCTATGTCCTATAATGAAACTTCACTGTATGAAGTTGGGGCTTTTCTTCCTCTGATAAAAGGTTAGGAGAGGGGGCATAAAAATGGTATGCTCTATTGGAAGATGTATATCCAAATGTATTACCTATGAAGAAGAGATATTGTATCCTGACCTGAGTAAACCATGTCTCATTGTCTACAGACCAATTGTCTAAGTTAACAACTCTTAGAGAACTGATTGTGGTTTCTTGCTTAATGTTCTGTATCTCTAAGGATGTGGTTATGAAACTCTCTCCCCACAATTCCACTGCATCGCTCCTTAGCACAGGGCCCAAGTAACCCTGCTGATAAACTCCGTACCTTTCCAATAAACCCAATAAAATGTCTAAAAATCAGCAATCTTACCTCAAAGTAATTTTCTTAAAATTGGAGCACGTGAATTTCTTTCGGGTAGTATATATTTTTGTTTGGAAGCATTTGAAACTTATTAGTTGGTTATTGTTCTGAAATATAGCATGAGGTTTTGATTTGTTTTTAATCTACATTGTTTCCATAAACAAACACTGCAGAAGGCGCCCAGTTCTTTAAGGCTGCCAAACTAGGATCATGGAGCTAAGCCCTGCTCAGTACCAGGCGCGGGGATCGCTCCACCAGCCCTAAAGATGGAATCTCAAGAGCTTGTTGGAAACTTTCGACAATAGTGATCAAGCCAAGTCTCCATATGGGGACTAACTAAACCTTATAAAATTTGAAGACAAGAAAGAAGTAAAGCCATGTACTTTTTTCTTAGTGGTAAAACTCCATCTCCTAACACTAATGAACAACACCAAATGCAAGGAGAATAGATTTACTAATGGTTAAAGAGTTTATAACAGGAAGTATTCCTTAATAATAGCTTCACATCTCTCCCAGAATACATATTCCAAGGCCTTGCGTGCATGTGTGTGTGTGTGTGTGTGTGTGTGTGTAGAGAGAGAGAAAGGGGAAGGAGGGAGAGAGAGAGAGCAAGAGCAAAAAAGAGGGGGGCAGTTAAGGTCGTATACATGCTGTGGATTCAGACATGGATTCAAATCCAATTCTGTCAATCCTAAGCTGTATGACTTACAAGCAAGTTGTTAGAAAACTTAGTTTTCTAACTTATGGAATTATTATAAAGACTAAATGCAAAAAATATATTTTTAAAAGTACTTAGTACAGGAGTGCTTGGCTGGCTCAGGTGGTGGAGCATGTGACTCTCGATCTCAGGGTTGTGAGTTTGAGCCCCACGTTGGGTGTAGAGATTACTTAAAAATAAAATCTTAAAAGAAAAAAATGCTTAGTACAGAATCTGGAACAAAGCAAGTGCTTCACAAATGATAGCTATTATCATTTTATTATTAATAGCCATAATGCTAAGAATATAGAAAAACAGTGGGGAAAAGTGTTCATCACGGCTCTAGTGAAATCAAGGTATCTAAACCAGACACTTCTATGTTGTGCATAATATACATACTGATTATTTCTCAATCTAAGAGCTTCTTCAGTTCTCCTGAAGATGTCGTGTAAAATTTCAGTTTCCAAAGTTCCAAGCAATTACCTTAAAAATATATTTTGATATTAAATATTCAGGTTTCCTAGTTTTCTAAAATGTCTGGGAATCTTTCTGGGATGGAAGATTTTAAGAAGGTGTTACTTCTGGCTGTTCACAGAATCCTTTTGTTATACTTTCAAAGTGTTTTGTCATGATTTCACAAGTTAATACTAACTTGTTTTTTAAAAATGTAGTTCCTGGGTGCCTGTATTTTAAAACATGGTACCAGTACAATCTGAGTAAGAAAAAGGGAGAGATACTAAAGGGTAAAGAAAAAAATAGAGCCATAAATAAAATGTAATACTATATATGTGTATGTGTGTGTGTATATCCATATGTGTGCATATTCATACTTTTCTAGGCCTCAAATGGTCCACAGTTTGACCATGTGAAAAAAAGCAAAAGATTAAATGACTAACTAGATTATTTTTAGTTTCAAATTTTAATGGAAAAATAACATTCAGGATGAAATTTTATTCTTGCCCTCCCTACACTTCTCTTCCCTCCCTGATAGACAGGCAGGCAGGCAGGCCAGCAGATAGAAAGACATATTGACAGGAGGTTATTCCAGGGCAATATATATATATATCCCAGTTTCATTGACAAGTGAGGAAAAGTTCTTGCTAACTTAACATTTCTAATAGGTTACAAAAAATACTCCTAATAGTGTTTGGGTCAGAAAATACGCCCCTGGTACTAATGAGTCTGGTCTCAACCCTTTCAACTCTTTGAAGCTAATCCTTATACCTATGGAGGGCATCAGAGGGCAGTCTGCTCCCTGTCTGCACAATTGAGCTCCATCAAGAAAGGTTCCAAGTTATAAAAGACCCCATTGGTTTTTTGATTAGAAATTGTTAACATCACTCATATTTTATTTCCTAATAAAATATTACTTAATTAAATGTATTTTGAAAGAAAGTAAAACGTTCATTAGCTCAAGAGTGGATTAAGTTACATGTCTGCAACAAAGGCTCTTTGCCTAGAATCTATAAACCAAGGCAACGTCAGTCAGGTCTATGGCAAGTCTGCAGATTTCAGAGAAAGCCTTAAGGTGTGCAGTCGGATTACTGACTGAGCTTCTGGTATACCAGAAACCGCAATAAAACTCCTAGCAATCAAGCCTCAAATAGAAACCAGATACAGTGGCCCTTGATACCTATATATGTTCATTTATAGAATGTTATTTACCAAGTGCACATCGGAATTATTTGAAGTATTTAAGAGTTTTCTGTATTTTGCTGATTCCCTGCACTGGGGTAAGGGATTTAGAGTCAGACTTAGTTTGCGTCCTAGCCTTTCTGCTGCCTGGGGAGAGCCTGGATTTCCTTACTGTGAAATTAGTACAGTCATGTCTAATTCACAGAGTGATTATAAACGTTAAGTGTGGAGAATGTCTGCACGTGGCCTAGCCTGTTTCTAAAGTAAATATCAGTTCCTGTCCTTTCTGCCCCCTTTTGCAAAAATCCGAAGTGCTTTTCAACTCCATTAAAATCCACAACATTTACTGATCATTTGCTTTAAGACTATCATAGTCCAGTGGGAGAGGCAATGTGTAAAACCAGGAGAGTGTCCTAAGTTATGTGCCCATGTCCCTGCAGTTCAATCAGTATGTTTCTATCCACCTCAGGTTTCCAGAGAGGAAGGCTCTTGCCAGCGGACCCCAGCGGGGCCGTCTCCCGCCCCAAGGAGCAGCCAGCCGAGCAGTTCTGCCATCATCAGCGTGCTTCGCGGGGGCGGGGCCATCAGAAACATCTGGACGGACCACCAGATCAGACAAGCCTTGTTCCCGAGTCGTCGGTCCCCTCAGGAGAACGAGGATGATGAAGATGATTATCAGATGTTCGTGCCATCCTTCTCCTCCTCAGATCTGAACTCTACCAGACTTTGTGAAGATAGCACTTCCAGTCGCCCTTGTAGTTGGCACATGGGACAGATTGAGCCCACGGAGACCACCAGCTCTGGCCACCGGGTGGTCAGGCGGGCCAGCAGCGCTGGCGAGAACCACACATGCGCTCCTGAAGTAAGAATTAGGGACAGTGGTGGCTCTCAGTACAGCCCCCGACGGGAACTGCAGAGTGACCCTAAAACAGAAGGGCAGGATGGAATGACTCCCTTTGGGTCATCTGTGGAGTTGACTATTGATGATATAGACCACGTCTATGATAACATCAGTTATGAGGACTTAAAACTAATGGTTGCTAAACGGGAAGAAGCTGAATCCACACCCCCCAAAACAGCCAGGGACTCTGTTCGCCCCAAGAGCACGCCAGAGCTCGCCTTCTCAAAGAGGCAAGCTGGCCCCGAGAAGAACTCTCTGCACACAGAGAGGGACGGAGCTCTAACAGGTCACCAGGCATCGAACCAAAGCGCACATGAACTCCAGATGGTGGAGGAAAACATCTACGACACCATAGGGCTCCCGGATCCGCCCTCCCTGGATTTCAAATGCAGCAGCCTGAAGCGCCCCAAGAGGAGCACCTTCTTAGGGCTGGAAGCCGACTTTGCATGCTGTGACAGTCTGAGGCCCTTTGTTTCCCAGGATAGCCTCCAGTTCAGCGAGGACGAAACGCCTTACCCCCAGGGACCCTCCGATAATGATTATTTGAGTTTGCTCTATAACTCTTTCAGCTGTAACCTGTCTGTAGGTGATAAGTCTATATCTGACAAACTGTCTGAAGAAGTGGACGAAATCTGGAATGACCTGGAAAATTACATCAAGAAAAACGAAGTCAAAGCTAGAGACCGGCTCCTCGCAGCCTTCCCTGTCAGTAAAGAGGATGTGGTAGACAGGCTGCACTCCGAGAGCACCCCCGAGCTGGGCAGAGACGCTGCGCGTTCCGTGTCTACCCTCTCCCTTCCCGAGGGCCATGCTTTCCTCACGCCGCTGAAAGACAAGCCCGGCAGAGGTGGCCGGACCCACTGCCCATTTGAGGAGGACCTCATTTCTAAAGAGGGCTCCTTTATGAGTCTTCACCGGCTGCCTCTGGCCAGTGAAACGCCTCCCATGGAAAACCCCTACGACTTGGCCAACAGCAGTCTATCCCAAACAGACTTGGAAAACCCTGACCCTGGGATGGATGCCACAGATAAGACGAAAAGCAGGGTTTTTATGATGGCCAGGCAGTACAGTCAGAAGATCAGGAAGGCAAACCAGCTTTTAAAAGTGAGAAGCCCAGAGCTGGAGCAGACACTGGCCAGCCAGCAGCACAAACCCACGCACAAAGACCTGGCAGCCATCTTGGAAGAGAAGAAGCAAGGGGGTCCCGCCATCGGTACGTTCCTTCACACTGCTTTCCCTCCTTCTTGAAAGTAGGCTGTGAGGGCAGCTTTCAGGTTCTAAAAGTCCTTGAAACGGTGAGAACATTGCCACTCAGACATTCATTCTCTCAAATGGAGACCGCAGCTTCACTAACAAACACTAATTCTTTTCCCCCTTGAGCTCACAGAGTCGCCCGAGTTGGAGCGAGATTCGGTCTCGGAGGGTTTTGTTGTTTGTGTCATATTGTCACTACCGGACTTGATGTTTTAAGAAGTTTTCTCTGATCTGAAGTGTGAAAAGTAGCAATCCGTTGAACTCGTGGCAGGTAGAGCTTTTCCCTGTGTATCGCTGTGTTGGGAGGAGTCATGGCTCCTGTCAGCTTTGAAGATTCGGAAGCCTGTGGAATAGGGTTGCTCCAGAATCCCAACAAACACGCCCACTCATCCTAACAGATGAAAAGGAGTCCTTTCACACTATATCCTCAGGCATTTTTTTCACGTATTTCTCTTACCAGTTGACTTTTTGTTTAATAGTTGCCGTAAAATAGCTGGTGTCATGCATTTAATACTATCTCCCTTCAGTATTCTCGGGTAGCTTCCAAAAAGTGTGATTCTTTCCGTCAAGCCTCCTTTGTGGGGCAGAAAACTGGGATCTCAGGTATGATATTGGTAGGATTAGGGCTAAAGGTTTGACTTCTTTCTCTGTTATAAAGAAGCGCAGAGACCAAACTTGGCACCGAGACACTGATCTCGGTTGAAGAACACAGGTGTGAATGAGACACGTAATTGTCACGGGAAGAAGAAACCCCAGGGCCCTGGCTCTCACCTCGGGAGCTTTTCACCTCTAGACCCAGCGAGATTTCTGGGGTTAAGCCCCGGAATCTGCAATTTAAAACAATGTGGACTTTTGAGCCTATTTTAAGATTCCCTGGCCTAGATTTTCTGACAAAGGACCCCCTTGGTATCAAATGAGAGGAGACCTTTCTCCAGTTAAAAGTAAAAGCCCGATGGCTCAGTATCAAGGCACACTGAGACAGGTAGTAGGATGGTGACATGGCTCATCTGGCCAGATCGATGCCACTAACCCCCTTTCTTTGAGATTGATGTCTTTATCTCTGCGAAAACCAGAGAATAAGAAGGGGATATCCAAATCCTACATGAAGCCACAAGTTACAAGTTACGTGACGAGAATCTGTAGGGAATTTTTTTTTGGTTTGGGAGTATTTAAGAATTGTCTAAAGCTTTACTCTTTTTCTAGAGCTCCTCCTACAGTAAAGTTTCCTATCAAAGAGGGAAGGTAAGCGCTGGAATTCGCTACCTGAAGGATTTTACACACTCTCTTGAGTTGTTCTTCTTTTTAAATAAAGGTGAAAAGTGAATTTTATATGAATGTAAGAGACCAGATGGCATATATTTTTCTCCTTGCAAGAATGTGCTGGAATTAATTCATGTCCCTTTTCCAGCACTAGCGTTACTAAGCTGGTCTGTTGTTACCCATGGAAAAAGCGACTGAGTTCCAGTTGTGAAGGACCCTGTGGGGGCATAGATGGCGTTGGAAGCAGTGGTATGTGGGCAATGCAACCACTGACTGAACCTGGGCTAGAGAGAGAATAGAATAGGGTTTCTGATGATCATGGATTATGCCAGTAGACTCTTGTTTCAAGAGTGGTAATTGCCTGAGCCAGGTTGTTTTGAATATGGACCATCCATTAAAATGCAGAACTCAAACCTTGATAGAAGCATGTCCTCCAATGCTGAATCATTAGGGCTTACAACTACCTTGAGTAGTCTTCTTTTTTACCCACCTTTTAAATATTCAGAGATGTCCCTTTGGGGCTTTCTGTTGCTTCTTTTTACCTTTGGTTTGTTCTCCTTTTGGTTTTGCCTACTGATGTCTTCTTGGGATCCCATGGGATCTTTTCTCAGCTCTGCGTCTGGGTCCTTTCTTGACATGGTGGGCTACTACCGATGTTCTCCCCAACCAAGAGGAGGAGATCTCTCCAAAGTCATCTTCTGAGAATGGGGTCTCCCCCGCTATCTGGCAGGAGCACGTCCCTAGGGCCTGCCATCTCTCGGACCTGAGGAATCTTCCATCTGGGTGGATCGAGACCACTTCCTGTGCCCACTAGGCTTTCAATCAGTTGACATGATGACTCCTTTTCTCTCTCTTGTTTATCTGGGCACAGGACGTCGTAATCGAACGGACCGATTCTCCAGACTTCTTCGTATGGGCCTTGCCACTTTGCCAGGAGCTTGCTCTCGGTGTTGTACGGAAGGAGGAACGCCCTATTCACCTGCTGAAACTCTCGAGCACCTTTATTGAACTCTCTGGTGGGGGTCTACAGGCCCCGGGCCAGATTTCTGCCTCTAAGTCACCCATCCAGGTCTAGTTACTCCCACCATCCAGAGCCTGTTGTAGCATGCCAACATTCTTGTTCAGTCAGACCTCCCTCCTCATAGTCTTGGAGGCCAACGAGGCCTTTGGGTTCCCTTTTTTGGTGATGTTTGACATGGGGGAAAACTCCATACAGGCTTGAGGGATTTTCCTTTTTATGCAGCGAAGGCCAAATCACATTTTATGCTTTGGTCTACATCTCAAGTAGCATCAGAAGCTTTGATTTTAATCCTCTGTCTTGAAAACAGTTTATTTCATACACTTTTCTCAGCAAGGATCATTTCCAGTTTTTATCTGGAATCCTAAGAACGCCACCTTTTAAACTTACAAAAGAGAAATAAACCAGAGACAGCCCTGAGGTTGTCACATAATAATAATACACGTATTCTATAAAGGGTATTAATGCCAGAACTGGGATGATGGGGAACTTTGATCCACCTGGCTAATACTAAGGTTTTTAGACTGGAGATGTCTTCTTGGGCTGGCTATTTCCTACACATCTGGGTAAAGCAAGCTAATGACAGTTGTTGCTTTGGAAGCATTCTCTTGTTCACATTGCCATCAAACAAGTTATAGAATGAGACAAACAAACAAAAAATCCCTAAAACTTAGATAGGCACTGTATGTTATCTACCCGTGAGATACTCTTTATTCCAAATTTATAAATGGTCAACTTTTTATTATCCAAACTGTGCCCACTATGAGTTATCTATAGGAAGCATTTTAATCAAAGGCTACTTTCCTGCTGCTGCTGCTTTTTTTTTTTGCTATGCCCCTGATTTTCTAGGCTGCCTGTCACTCTCTGTGGTATGGTCTTAGGGAAAGCACGTCCATTTTTAACACTATGCTTAAAATAAAAGGAGGAAGTCCAAAATTTATCTGAATAAGTAGTTCTCGAGACCAGTTTGTATCTAGAATTATGCTTGGTGCTCTGTGAGGATTGTTCTCCAAGAGTAAATGCTCATGGACTAGCTGGAATGATAAACTAGCCCATGTTAAAAAAAAAAGAGAGAGAAAAACAGCAACACGAGATTGTGTGCATGTGTGCATGCATGCCCATGCATGTGTGTGCAGCCAAGAGCTGAATATTATGGTCCACACTAAGTGTATAAGACGTCAGGGAAGAGAAATGGGTTAGAAAATGATTCATGGAAGGGGTAGGGCTTATAGAGGGTCTTGAGTGGTAAATAGGATTTGATTAAGCAAAGGAAGAAGAAAGAGAGTGTGATTAGGAAGAAAGAGGCATGAGAAATACTGTGGATATTTTGAGTAATATGTGGTTTCAGATCATCTGGGCTATCACAGTCGGAAGTCAAAAGCCAATTTTTCATTACTCTATGGTTAAACTTTGGTGCTGAAATAGTTGAACCAAATGTTTTAATTAGCTCTCATTACTTTCTCCCAAATTGCCATCTCACTGGAACCTTGTGAAAGTTCAGAACCTTCCTGACTTAGCTGTGGGATCACGCTCAGGGTCATCGTGTAGATGAGAATGGTTTGGGCAGAACGAGTTGATGTTCAGGTGGGACTGCTAACCAGTGACTCTGTCCCAAGGTCCAGCTGCCTTTGTTTGGGCTTCACAGTTAATGAAACATTATAGACTTCAGAATGGCTAACATGGGCACTTTGGTGTTCATGTAGACTTTCAGTCTCTTAAGGGGCTGCCAAATTTAATTGGTATCGAGAGTCTTTACTATGCCATTTAAGGAATAATAGCTCAAGTTCTTGTTACTAGCAATTCTAAACTATTATTCTCTGTTCTTCCAAGGAATTTGGACTTGAAAACCTGAAGGATCTGAATATAGGATCTATGAGAAGTTAAACATGATTTACCCTGATTTGGGGAGTTGGGAAGGCAAACAATTTGAGAAGGTTGCAATTAAAGGCACACCCGCAGGTGTCTTCTGTCCTCATAGAAGATAGAGTTGAAAGAAATGGCAGAAACTCAACTAAATATTTTGTTTAAATTCAAGGAAGAATTTACTAACAATAGGTTACTAAAAATATAAATAGCTTAAGAAGAAAATGCAATGTCACTTGCTGGTCATCGTACATGGGATAGATCCCTTTTGTAGAGGCTGTGTAAGATGTGGTCTGGGCAATTTATAGGATGCATGGAATTCTTTGATTCTAGGGCGGTCGTGTGGATACCTGGATTGGGGTGATGGTGTGTGTGGGCGGGGCGCAGCTCTTGAAATTGACATCTCTGGGCTCTGTCTCTTAAATCATTCCTGGCCCAAGAGAGTATTCTATCCATAGCAGCGTTCTGTTAATGTCTTTAGAAATGTAGAAATGTCTGTACTCAGAAGTAGGGTAGAGAGGAGAATGGCCTCCTAGCTGAATTTGAAGTGGCAATAGCTTTCATGGATATAACAGTCAAATCCTGTTCTGGACAAATACCAGAGAGTATTACATTATCAATTACATGCATAGATGATTCATTCTCGATATCTTGGGGGCATAGACTTTAGTGCCTGGCTTCTTGGGTATGGGAAAGAAGGTGTGGCTCAGTCAATACACATGGTTTGGAAATCCTGGAAGGGAGGGCCTCCTGTAGATACTTGTTTCCCAGATGATAGCAGCGAATAGCTGCCCAGAAACAAGAAATACAGGAACAGTGACCAGGAGTGGACTCTTCTGGGAGTCCTTGTCTGAGAGAGATTAAGTCTAGTGAGAAGCCAGGGGCAGCCACTGCATGGTGGATTGTGTCATCTTCCTTTTAATGACTACTTGAGTTATTTGTCATTGACCAGGGTTTAAGTACTGACCTTCTTGTTTTTATGATGCCTGTTTTTTTAGCACTTTTCATGCTTGTAAAGAACACTAGAAATTTTCATTACAAATAGTGAACATTTGCAGACCTAAAATAAAATAATCCAGAATTCGATCAAATTAAATGAACCTGTAGGTGACCTTTTTTTACATTTTTATGTCTTACTAAACTATGGATTATTTTGTTAGTTTGCATTGCTTAGTATTCAATGGTGACTCACCCTCAAACTTAAATGTCCTATCTATTTAAATTTTTTAAATCTGTCTGTTAGGATGTTAGATTTCTTTTTTTTTTTATCTTTGCACGTGGAAGTAATCCTCTGTACATTTATTGTTTCCATATTTGCCTTCCAGGTGCCAGGATTGCTGAGTATTCCCAACTGTACGACCAGATTGTATTCAGAGAGACTCCCTTCAAGACTCAGAAGGATAGCTGGGCCAGACCTCAAGAACCCTGCCACCTCAGGTCCACATCACCTTCCCAGGCCCAACATAGCAGCGAGGATTGGCTTTTGCATTCAACCTACAGTAACGGAGAGTTAGTGGATTTCTGTCCCCGGCCAGAGCCAGACTTGAAGTCGAAACATCCTACTTTAGCGATCAATGCAAAAAGCATTCCAAGACAGCTGTCCGCAGCTTGCTCTGTGCCTTCTCTTCAAACCTCCGACCCTCTGCTGGGCTCCTTGCAGAGACACAGTGTCATAGTCAGTCAGCCCAACAAAGAGAACTCTTTTCAGGGCCACCTTTACAACTCTTTGGGTCGCAAAGGCCTCAGTGCTAAATGTCAGCCATACAGCAGGTCCCAGTCCTCTTCCTCCATCTTGATAAACAAGTCGGGGGACTCCATCAACTACCCTGGGGAGATGGGAAAGAGACAGCTGCTGTCTTCACACAAAAGTTCGAGGTGTGAGGGTCCCCAGGATTTGCCGCCAGGAATGGCTGACTCATGTCCGCAGGGCACCGAAAAACGCTCCGATCTCACGCTCCGAGACTCACAGAAGGTTCTGGTAGTAAGTAGAAATTTACCCTTCAATGCCCAAATAGCGACCCAGAACTACTTCTCCAATTTCAAAGAGACTGAAGGAGACGAAGACGACTATGTGGAAATCAAGTCGGAAGAGGACGAGTCGGAGCTAGAGTCCTCGCACGGCCGGAGGAAGAAATCCGCCCCGGGGACCGTGGAGGCTGACCTTCCCGAGGACGCCTGCGGCAGCAGCACCCCTTACTCTTTGAATAGTCCATGCACTCCAAAAAAGCCAGTAAGCGACAAGCTGGGGCTGTCCCCCTATCTGACGTCGTACAGCGATTCGGACAAACTGAATGACTATCTCTGGAGGGGGCCGTCTCCCAACCAGCAAAATATCGTCCAGTCGCTGAGGGAGAAATTTCAGTGTCTCAGTTCCAGCAGCTTTGCCTGAGGTTCTTCGGAGAAGCCGCCCGAGTCAGCGTGGCGTGATGCTCGTAAAGGGCCGATACCCAGAGGTGTTTTCTGTGAACCAGATTAAAACAGTCTTGCAATAACCAGGCGTGTCCACCATGCTTTCTTTTACACAACATCTCTTTGGCGCGGCTGCCAAGCCAGCCGGGACTGTACAGTCTAGCCGGGGTCAGCATCTCACGGCGTGTCTTCCTGATGCTGACTGCCTTCATGTTTCACCTAAGTCAACCTTACTTGGAAAGTTCTAGGCTTTTTTTTTTTTTTTTTAACGTGATGGCCGTGACATTTTGTCCCGTGCCCTTGGCAATAATGCCCAGAGTCTAAGAAACGCAGTGGCCCTCGCCTATCATCCAGAAGCCACGAGTAGTTTGATTCTAGGACCCAAAGGCAGCAAGGAGGCTTTTCCACATGTTTAAAAAAAAAAAAAAAGGAAGGAAAACTAAAGCTGTTTGAAGGATTAGGCTTATTATACCTGGCATTTTGGTTACATTCGGGACAAGACCCCAGAACAACGTAAGCTAGAGATCTCTAGTTAGGAGTGTAAGTGCACACTGCCCGTCTCCTTCTGCATGGGTTACTCCTACATCCGTTCACTCTGTTGTAGAAATTGGGTACCTGTGGGACATCAGGAGGGAGCAAGACCGATTCTCTATAAGCAAAGACCCTTACCTGTATTCCTGGACACGTTCTGGAGAATGCACTGCTTATCGTGTTTATTTTTGATTTGCTGGAGTAAAATGAATGATTTCCTCCAATGCTCAAAGGAAACTATAAGCAAGAAAGTGCAGATTGACTTACCAGTTAGAAAGGATGGGGACAACTTGGTGATCTCCTCATATTCCAGTGGAAGGCAGGGGTGGAAATGGGAACTCTTCGTGCAATATTTTTGTGCGGATGTCTAATCAACACAAAGTAAGCCATGAGCTAAAATAAAACACTTTAGGGCCACCCTTTCCAGAGCAGTTTTTCCATGTGTACTTTCCCGAGTTTTGTACCTCAGCCAAATGACCTGATCCCAGCCTTGAGGATTTCGTTGGCTGCAGTGAAATTTTTTTTCCAAACTCAACATAACAGGGGGCCCTTCTCTCATTGTTTTGAGGCACATAAAAGAAAAGAATCTTTGGCTACTAAGCTCTGACAAATACCATCTTTGATGTTGTCATTATGGTCTTCAAATAGCCATCCGTTGTGATAATCATGGACTAATCTAAGGCTTTATGGAAGGAAACAAAATCAAAAGCAAGGCCTTGTGAGTCAAAAGCAAAAATCAAAGAAGCAAAAGAGAAAAGTGAAGGCCAATCTGTTGCTATTTTATAAAAATGTTCTATTTTATGGAAGACTCCAGTCAATACAACAAGGATGTTTTCTCAAACAAGAATGTTGTATTCTCCTTTCAAGCAATTTTACATTCTAGAACCCCTTCCCCAGTGGGCTCAGTTTTCATTAATATCTGTGTAGGAAAGGGGATCTGGGCTTTCTATTTGAAGGCAAGCTCTGATACTGATTGCAATCGGTGACATCTAACCATAATTCTTTTCCTCTTTTTAAAGTCCTGTGCCTCTCTTTCTTAACCATGAAGCATCAGATGTGACCATCCTTATTTTACAAACAGGTACCTACGGCACTCATTTTTCCTTTTAAATAACAAAAAATAACCCAAGTTTCTTGTTTCTCCATAAGATTCTTTCTTCTCGTAGCTGACAAAACCAAGTCCATGTTGAATGGCATGGTTCTAGAAACATTCCTGCTTTCACTGCCTTTCTTTAAACTTGATACAAGTTTTCAAGAGTAGGAGTATCAGAAAAGACAAGCCCTGTAGGAAAGTATGTTCTTAGTTTGCAAAACAAAGTTACCTGATTCTTCTTGTGCTAAGAATGGAGTTTCCTATTTTTGCCTTTTAGTTTGTACAACCCCCAGTTCTATGTTGTCCATATATTATTGTGGTGTCTTACTCTCAGAAATTATTAATTCTTCACACCAGTGTCTTGTTGCATGGCTTTGATGTCGCCTATAGGAGAATACCCTGCTGCACGAAGGTGGATGTCTTGCTGTATAAAATGTGTGGTTGTTTTAGGTTCTAGGACAAATCTTTAGCTTTATAGACCACTTCGGTCAGCCAGGATGCAGATTTTGAGAGCTGTGTGTATACTGTATAATCATGTTTGTATTTTTTCTCAAAGTTACCAATTAAAAGCTTTTGTTTAAGATAGTTTCTTTTGGAGGTGGGGTAAGATTGTATATAATTGGGGGGGAAAGTTATATGTACTTAAAAGTATGTCAAGTTCTTATTAGGTCTCTGTACTGAAGGTTCAATTTTTTTTAAAAGTTCACTTTCATCTACTCTTTGTGCAAAAAAAAAAAATGCATCTAGGAAAAGATAGTTTAAATATTGTATATAAGATAATGAAAGTTAGTAATGCTCATTATTTAATAAAGTTTGTAAAGTACAAAGTAAATTATAGTGTGAATTCGTGTGTTTGTTCTAGGAAGGTCAAGATTTTTCCAAACTACACTGAGTTGTAATACTTTGCTTTGCCTTATGAACCATGCAGACAATGGTTCTGGGTTAATGACCATACACCATGTTTCAGTGACAGCGTATTTTCTGTATCTTTGGATTACTTTTAAAATACTGAATTTAATGTCTGGGATGGTATGTGTTTTCTTGATAGGTGGCTAAGTTAGATCAATCACTAGATTATCTTTTTTTTTTTTATTTTGTAGTAACAGAAGACATCTTTTTTAACTATTTCATTATTGAATCAAAAAAATTAAAACTTTGGGGGCACAAATTAAGATGGGTTTTTCTGTGTGTAATTTCATGTTCCAAATTTTTTTGACAAAAAATTTATAGAGAACAGAAGCATGTTAATATAAATTGGTAATTATAGATCATTTCTTAAGCAATTCTATTTCCAAATATAAGCATAATACCCTACCCCAACATAACAAAAATATATGTTGCCTAACTTTCTTTATACAGAGGAAAATAACTTTTAAATTTTTCTTGAGAGTGTTTTAAAGTGGAGAACTTCTAAACCTCACATTGAGGATCCATCACACCTTTTCTGCCTTGAGGTTGAAAGTAGGTGGGGTTTTCTGTAAGTTATGAAAGGTCAATTTATTTTTTTTTTAAGATTTTATTTATTTGATAGAGAGAGAGCAAGCAAGAGAGCACGAGCAGGGAGAGCAACTGTGGGAGAGGGAGAAGCAGGCTCTCTGCTGAGCAGGGAACCTGATGCGGGGCTTGACACCAGACCTTGGGATCACGACCCAAGCCAAAGGCAGACGCTTAGCCAACTGAGCCACCCAGGTGCCCCTTGAAAAGTCAGTTTAGAGAAGTAAATGATAGCAGAAAAACCATGCCCTATGTAAATTCCATACATAAATCCTTAGGGGACAGAAAAATCTTAAAAATCAGACTTGTAATGAACTATAAACACAGCTGTTAAACATGAGTATTTATTAACATTTGTTAAGTTTTCTTTTGTTAAAAGGAATTTTTTTAGGGACGCCTCAGTGGCTCAGTCAGTTAAGCGGCTGCCTTTGGTTCAATCAGGTCATGATCCCAGGGTCCTAGGATCGAGTCCC